GCTAGCACCGCTCCATCAAGAAAAGCACATGGTTGACTTCAAGGATTATTGGTGGAGGATGAGCCTTTAAGCTAATACAGACCATCTTTAAGTGGCCCCCCGAAAGAGTATAGTCCTTGCTTGATTGTCCTGAGCAGAAAAACCAAAAGAGGTAAATAAAAAAAAGAACTATCATAATCTTTGCAAAATTATGAAACATATAACAAAGTTTTTTTGATAAAAGGAACATGAAGGACAATTATTTAAAATGATAGAACCATTAGAGGAGTGAAGAGGAGTAGAGCCAACATGGGATATACCTATACATGTATCATTTCCAACTGCAATCTTCTCTGCATCATTATAATCAGAATAAATATTGAGATTAGTTAGGTCAACAGTAAGATGGTTTGCAGAGCTCCGGAGTCAGGATGCCAATTGGAGTGCGAAAGCATCACTGTGGAAGCAACAAGAGCTGAAGATGGAGGAGTACCGCGGAAGGAAGCGGCAAAATGTCGACGACATGTGAGAATAGTGTGGCCTAATATGCCACAGGGTTGACATCGGATCGAACTCTGATGAAAAGCAGCGCCATATCTGTTGTTGTAGCTGTCGTGGTGATTTCCGTGACCTCACCGACCAGTACCTCGAACGAAGTCGCCACGACGACCACCACTGGAGCGATTTGACTGTTGTCAGTTGTTGCCCTTAGTGACTTGCTTGGATGCAATATTGGCAGAGAGAAACACTGTTGCCTGGCTAGGATGAGCATGTCATTCATGACGATCATATCTAAGAAGTAGGCTATATGAATATCTGCAATAGAAAGATCATCTAGTTTTGTGTAGATAGACGTAACAAAAGGATCATAGCTAGATCTGAGACAGGATGACCTACTACCGCAAGAGAGTCGACGAGAGATTTAACCTTCTTGATGTAGTCCCGCCGGGGAACGCGATGCATTTGGAGAGATCATCATACTTGACGCCATGAATCCTTGTATGTGTAGAAGACGCGCCTACCATGCCATGCCAACCAAAGATCAATCGATCCTGCTCTTGCTGTGCTGCGTACTCTAGATTTTAGTGCGATGTCAGTCGATGGAGACAAAGCAGCGCTCGATGAAGCATCTGTTGAAGAGGAAGTGATATACATGAAAACGACCCAACGACTTATCGTGCTTGCCACTTAAGGTCGTTGGGTCCGTTGAGTTTGGCACAGCCGCGCGCAGGACGGAGGGAGAAAATAATCATATACTGGGTCAGAGTTATAAAATAAAAATAACGCTGACAGCTGATGATAACACCAAAAAGAGGGAATTCAACTTGTGAAACAAGATGGTCATATATCGGATGCGAAAAGCATACATTTTCCTTCACAGAAGCTACAACATTTTTTTTTAAATACAAATTTTTCTATTTTCTCCTCTTCTCAGAGGTTTTTGCTGAACAGAGTCCGCTGAGAACTACATTAGAACTGCACCTAAGGGCCCTATACAGAAAAGAAATAGTACACTGGAACCACCACCTGCTGCTCTCAAGGAGCCAGATCCTGCTGATTTACATTGAAATCTAACGAGGCTGCTGGATAATGCGACGAGGGCTGAACTTTGGGCTCACATACTGCATTGGCTTCTCATGGTGCTTCAGAGGCTCCAACACTGGCTTCGCAGCCCCGCTCCTTGGCGATTTCAAGCTCAGACTCCTGATCAACGCATCAGCATCACTCTCCCCTGCAGGCCAATAACATTATAAGAGACCGCTAACATCAAATGGCGAAATCTATTTTACACAATCATATGTAAATAGAAGACTTCCAACTCCCACCAGCTTTCACACTCTCTTTCTTGGATCCAGCATAAAAGGGTTCCTGTTCCACAACATCAAAGACTTGATGGAAAGTAGCCTCATCGAGATTGGAGAACTCGTCGTTGATTCCAAGATCAAAAGAATCGGGCAACAGGTTTGTGACGTCGACGTCATCATCTTCACCATCAAAGGTTTCTTGTTCTTGGTGTTGACGGAACCAGTGGTCACGGAACCATGAGGTTGTCTTCACCAACTCCCACCACTCAGGTGAGAAGTCCTCCACCTGTTGATATGCTGCTGGGATGAAAAGGGGAGCATTCGGATTCAGTGTCGATCTCAGTGCATTCGATGCTACTGCCATGGTACTCATTGATTGCTTCAACTGCAAAAAAAGCCGGAAGGTAACTATAAGAATGCAATTTTCTTCAGAAAAGAATCAACATAACTCTTCAAACAATTTTAAGAGGCCTCCCGGTTGACCTCAGAATCATAATTTGTAAAGACAATTAACAAAATATAACGAAAGGAGTGATGCCAAACACAAGTGAACTATTATTAGCATGTGGCTCTTTTCAGAAGGTAACTGAAAAGTTTAAGCAGTCCTTGAAATTTTTAAGAAGCCGTCCAATAGACCTCAATTGACATGATATGAAGAAATATATGTGGTAGTACTCATCACAATGCTTAAAGTGGAGAAATACATGTGAACTATCATCATAGGGTTCTTTCACAAACTAAAAGAAAACAAAATTTTCATAATTCTTAATAATAATATTTAAAAAAACTAAGCCTCCAATAGACCTCAGATTCATGAACAATTTCCCAGCTTTCGATTCATAACATCACCATCTAACTCGGAACACTTTCAATCTAGCCATTACATCCCGAGTCACTCTTGAGATTATAGGTCAGATGCAAAGCAAGCTAGTTATAGCACAAATTTGACCTTTTTTAACCTATCAAACACCATAAACTCTAAAATTAGAGTTAAAAACAATCTTACGAAACTTACAGCAATCTATAAATAACTAGACTGAATACGGAAGAAGAGCTTGAGATTGCAAAATATCAAAAAAAACATGCAGCAAAACACTAGCATAACTAAGAGCAAGCATCAAGCAGTGTTTGAATTATACTAACAAATATTAAAAAAGTAAATACATTAATAACACGAACCCCAATTCAAAAGCACACATCCAATCTACACCAAAGTTGCTAATGAAACTAGATAACTTATATCCTAATATTTGAAATCACTAAATAACACGCAAAAGTACTCAAAGTTATTACAAATCGAACTCAAACAACAAAATAATTATAGCGAAAAGAGCCCAAAAAAAAGCAACTTAGATATAATCAAGATAGTAAACAACTTATAAGCAAGCAGATCTACAGGATTAAGTTATTGAGAACCACATCAGCTCCACTCAACAAAATTACAACCAAAATCATTCAAAAAAATAAGCAAAAGAGTCTAACATAATCCAATTAGAAGTCAAACAGAAAAATAATTGTAGCGAAAAAATAAACTAAAAAGCAGTAACTGGGATGTGATCATGCTCATCAATAATTTACAGCAATCATATCTATAGATCTACGTCACTCAGATCCAATCAACAAAATTTCAACATCTAAGATCACAAATCTCTAGATCTTTGAGATCTAGAATCAGATCAGATCAAAGAACAACAAAACAAATTGAGGAATAGTTCATTAAAACTAGAAACCAAACATCGATCCCTAAAGATTTCAGACATCAAATCGTTCAATTCGTCCAGTTCTAATTAAATAACATTAATTCGAGAATTATTACCTCCTGATAAAAATATCGTCTTTGATTGATATTATCTTGGAAGTATCAGCGGAAAATAGGAGAAATATCTTGAAATAAAAAGCGATGCGATGAGAAATGAGATAGTGAGGGGGTTTATATAAGACAAGTGGGCATGACCGGTAACTTTAACATTCGGTTACCGAAAGCGAAGAAGTAAAAGAGTCGGGGCCAATCGGGCGATGAAGTGGTGTGAGAGGACACGGGCGGTGACGACAACGCGTCCGGGGGGTGTCGTAATGCTTTTGATTTGGCAGCCAGCCAACGGAGACCATTTTGGGGGGAAATTTACAGTTAGATCCAGTTGTTGATAATAATTATTTATGGAACCCCTTAACTTTCAGACGTTTTTCACGCTTGTACACTTATTAACAATAATATACCAATGTTTTTTATTTCTATTTTTCATTTTTAAAAGTTATAAAGGAAGAAATCTAACTATTTGAAATTCATGAAATATCAGAAAGAGCTTAGTTTATAGATTATTGCAACTTTTTCCTTTGTGGAAGGTTATGTATTCTAATATTTTATCTATAACTAGTCTCGATATGTTCGGAACAACATACAAAGACTCTCTGACATAAGTTTAATGTATAAGGTTTGACGTTTGAGTTCACAATTTACACAGATTAATTAAAAAGAGTTGATAATAGATTTTAAAACCTGTAAATGATATATATAATATTAAGGAAACTCAATAGAAACTTAAAATATAAATATGAAAAAGAGAAGGGATACGGAACATTTTCTTCCATATGAAACATTTTTTACCTAATGCCGAGATTCTTAATTTCTTTTTTTGTTAAGTATAGTGCGTATAGTCATGCACTCATGCCTTGATTTAAAGATGACAGCTTGTATTAATAGAACTTTAGGTACTAGTATGGGTATAAACTTGCATTGTTGATTGTTTTCAGTTGACAAGTCTGGTTGTCAGCATGCTGGGGTCCAGAAGAGCATGACACACTAGATTCTGACAATGAATTTGGACTAAAGAGGCAAATATGTGGGGTTTCACATGATATTGATATATATTATCCCATCCGCCGACTAAACAACTAAGCCGATGTTTGGTTCGAATGCCAAAATTTTAGGATTTGTAATCTTATAAAGAATTTAAAATCTATACGGTTTTATATATGCTTTGATATTTCTAATATTTTGTTTGGTTCAATATTATTATTCCTTCAATTTGCAATATCTTGTAAGATTTAAACCGAAATTATATGGTGATAAGTTTTAAAAAGAAGGAGAAGTGAACATAGTTACCTTAGTGATGTCACGTCCCACAAAAAAATAAAATGCAAGGGCATAGAAAGAGGGGTAAGCATATCCATTTATGAAATTTGCCAAATGAAATTTGCCAAATCCTCTCCAGTTGAGAGGATTTGATAAATTTTAAAAATCGGACGTTTTTTGTACTTTTGGGATCCAACTACTGGAATAGTAATAATAATTTGCCATTGAACATCCAATACATATTATGTAATAATATTGTAATGTTAATAAATTTAATTGTTGCACATAATTTAGTTGAACATCCAATACATATTATGTAATAATATTGTAATGTTAATAAATTTAATTGTTGCACATAATTTAGGTATTATTTATATAATTGTTATATATATCCTTAAAAGTTATTTTGTTAGATCATGCACTGTGATGATCACTTACTTGGAGATATGATCTAACTTAGAAATTCCTTAAATTTATGCTTAACCTATTACTAGTAAAGGATAACTTTGTTATAACATGTTATTATGCATGACACCGATATATGAGATATGGTGGTGGGTCTCAACCATCGGGAATGGAGATTCTCCGGATGTATGTCATAAGCACGCATTATGATGTGTGTAGCACTAGACCGTATTTGAATTCTCTAGGATGAGTCACCTAAGAGATAGAGAATTTAAATTGTTACATGGTCCCTTTGACTTGATGATTTTGTTATTTTCGATTTGATAATTTAGTATGCTTTGATATGATGGTTAAGCTTGTTTAGCAAGCGCTACACAACCTGAAACGTTGGGTTGCTAAATTTCATTTAGGAAAATAATGGATGTCTAGATAGGATCCAGTATGCTCATTATGAAGAGTTAATTTATTATGCATTCTCATGAAGCTATTAAATTCCTGCCGGCAGGTGGTTTTAAAAATATTTTTTAAAATTTACTTTCTTATAAAAATAAAATATTTTGATGTTTCAAAATGATTTTTATTTATGTTTATGGGAATTGCAAATTTAGGCATGAGCAAATAGGTGAATTGTCCTGCTTAAAAGAGTTGCCTAAAATATATGATACTGGAAGGGAGTGAATGTAAGATATTATTTAATCGTATATTATGGAAGAGCTTTTATGAGCAGTTTGTGGGATAGGGATTTGATTGTTAAATTAAAATTATTAATTTAATTAATAATTGGTTTTCGATATGGGACCCGACTGGTCTCACTAATGTCATTAGAAAAGGTATACATGTAATGCAATTCTATTTCTATCCTTAATTGTTATGGATAAAGTTTTTGAACAAATATATTCTATCTTTAATTGTTATGGATAGAGTTCTAAATAATTATGAATTGTTTAAAGTTAAAATCTCTAAGATTAGTGTAATCCTATAAATAGGGTTAATATGTAGCCTTATGAGAGGAGATAGATGAGATTGAAAATCTTATAAAGATAATATGAAGAAATGGATTTTTGATAACATATCTCTCAGTATTGCTCCTCTACGGTGACGGGTAGATTTCAATTGGAGGCTTTTTCTTTTGAAGAAGCTATTTCGGATTGATCTCGGGACAGATTATTGTAGAAACTCAGAAAGCGTTTCAGGTATTCTTCTAGCTTTTAATCAATTTTGATTAATAGTCATGATATATTTTTTTCGCTGCGTTGTATGTCATGATTCCAACAAATGGTATCAGAGCGGGTTTAAAATCTAATCTGTAATAATTTAATCGGATTAAATTTAAAAATTTTGATTGAAATTTTTGGTTACTGTTTATCGGCCGAGAATACTGTTCAATACTGGTGGTACTGTTCATCGATGGGGTTACTGTTCATCGTCTGTGTTTACTGTTTATCCGGTTACTATTCATCTCAGTTTAATTTGTTAAACTAAAATTAATTAGATTAAATTAAAAGTTTGATTAGATCAAAATATGGTGTTGTTGTTCAAGGGTTATGATTATTTGATTAGACTAAATTAAATTTTGATTGAGATCAAAATTAGGGTTTGGCACTGTTCATCAGCGAATACTGTTCACGGGTTACTGTTCATCCGCGAAAAAAAATCCCTTTGTTTTTAATAGAGATCAATTGAGGCTTTTTATATGATCATGATTATGGTTCTTTGATTAGATCAAGTATTTTGGTTATTTAATTTGATTAGATGTGATCTAATTGGGTTCTTTATTAAAAAAAACCTTCGTCATCGCCGACGGTGGCCTTTTTTATAATATTTATATTCATGAGGAGAATGTTGTTGGCTTCTTTGTTTTGATGATGTTTAACAAATAATTTACCACTAATGTTGTTTGTCTAGTGTTGGTATATTTCTATTTATTATAGACAAACAACGAGTTGGATGATGGATGGAATCGAACCTTAACGATCATATCAAATGGAGGTTGGCGGAATTGTGGAGTGAAGCAATGTCAATTCAAGTTCAAGATCCAAGTTTAGCTTCATCCGTAACGTGTACCAAGTTGAGCTCAATGAAGATCAAGATCAAGCTTGGGTAATTTAGTTTAGGATTTATATTATGTGTGTTAAGTACGTTAAGCTCAATATCTATACACACACATTTATTGGTTTCTTCGTATATACATATAGTTATATATATATATATGTAGTCACATATATATACAACACAAGTTTTGGTTTTCATGTTTATAAATATGAGATTACATATTTCATATTTATTATTGTGATTTGGTTTAACTACTTAGATATGAAACAAATATATTTTCATATACATACTCCTATGTTTCATTCTCTAATGTATTTGTGAAAATATCATATTCTTAGTTTTTGGACTTAACAATAATCATATACATATTTTATTAAGTCTACAAAATCATTGTGCAGAGTTTCAAAACATGGTTTAGCCTAAATGTCAAAATTCATATGTTTACATTTTCGTGTTTTGGACTATTTTGCAAAATGATGATATTTTTCATTTGGGAAGTCCTTTTTGGAAACCAGTCATTGTAGCATGTTTATTATCATGTCTATAATCATTCCCCAAAGTTCTATATTTTTTAGAATTTATTTGATATTTTTAAACAGTGTTTTAAAATCAGGAAATCAGATTTTCATGTATCAGTTTTCGGTCGACCGATCCGGTCGACCGCTCATATGTTCAGCCGTCAGTGGGCAGCAGAGAGTTTGTCGGTCGACCGCAGGAATTTCCGGTCGACCGCCAATGTATCCGTTGGTTCCCAACGGCTATTTTTCTGAGCTGATTTTCTGGGGCTGTTTTTGTCTTTTGCTTAGGGTTGTTGGTTGAGGTTTTGGAGGTTATAAATACCCTCTTTGATCTCAGTTCAAATGAACCAAGAAGTTTTTAAAAGAAGTTTTTAAACAAGGGTTTAAACTTGTTTAGTTTGGTTTAAGTTTGGTTTGGGTTTGCTGTTACAAAGAGGAGTTTACATCAGTGTGTTTTTAGAGAAGTTTCCTTAACTCTATTTCCTAGCATTTCTACTATTGTATTTCATATCAATTTTATTGCTAGTTCTTATTGAGTTAAGTTTTCATTTTTATACTCATTGTTACACACACACACTTGAGCTTATAGTATTTGCATACATAGTATTTTAGGGTTGTGAGAGATTGTAACATTGAGTTGTGCTTAATTGAGTTCTCATCTATTATAGAGAACAAATATATATTTGTTACATTGTGAGTGTTGTAAGGTTTTCGGTGAGCTAGAAAACCGAGTGTGTAGTGAAGTTTTCGGTGAACTAGAAAACCGAGTGTGAGGAGTGAACGTTGATCGGTGATCGTTGAAAACCGACATAGTGTAGTTGTAAACGTTATTCGGGTGAGCGTAGAAAACCCGGTTGTGATAGTGGATTTCTCCCCGGGAGTGGGGAGCGGAGACGTAGGATGGAAGGTCCGAACT